TGGTGCACCCCTTCGTGGCTGTGTTCATGGTCTTGTTGTAGTTAAGCCTTGATTGCTGTTGGTATCACTGGGAGGAATTGACATCCAGGTCAACTGGCTGTGAGGACCAGTTGTGTCTGCAATGGCAGAACTTCTGTGCTGAAGACACCCTTATGGGGCAGGACTTGCTTCAGTGGGGCTTTGGTGCTCACTGAGTCTGCCCTCTGAGTGTGTCTGTTATGGCTGTGAAGTGTTGTAATCTGGATGGTCTCTCTCTGACCACTGTGTAGACTGGCTCTTGGATCTCCAAGGAGGTGCAAACTCAGCTACTGCCTGAGGCCACCCAGCAGGAGCTACAGAGAGATCTGCAGATTCCTCCTCTTTAGGGTTTGGAAGTGCCTGGATGAGGTACAGCTGTGAAGTAATGCAGGCTGCTGATGAGCTCTAGGCCTTCTTTTGGGAGCTCTGGGGTTCTCTGACCCAGCTACAGTTTGACAGTTTTTAGGTGGAGAAAGGCCAGGCCATTCGTATGCAAAAGCCTCTGTGCACAGCTTGGGTGGGGTTGTAAATTGGGTCGGGCAGGGTCTCAGGGAATCACCAGGGCGGAGTAAACCTCAGTGGCTGCCAGTCTGCTCTGCCTCGGAAAGGTCCTGAGATCTGTGTCCTGCAGCCCCGTGCAGGAACAGTGAACGCTGCAAGCACCTCTGCGAGAAAGCCACCCTTACGTTCTGGCCCGATGCCAGGCAGTACAGTTTCTCTTTGTATGAGTCCGGGTCCCCAAATGCTCGGCCGGAACTGGAGTTCAGAGCAGTCGGGAGCTTGTATCTCCTTCCCGATTGAAACAGACAACCGGCCAAACCGGTTTGGCTCAGTGGATAGAGCGTTGACCTGCGGACTAAGAGGTCCTGGGTTCGATTCCGGTCAAGGGCATGTACGTTGGTTGCGGGCACATCCCCAGTGGGAGTGTGCAGGAGGCAGCTGATCGATGTTTCTCTCTCATCGATGTTTCTAACTCTCTATCTCTCTCCCTTCCTCTCTGTAAAAAATCAATAAAATATATTAAAAAAAAAAAAAAGAAAGAAAGAAAAAGACAACCGTGTACCCAGTTGCCAGCCCCTTTTGTGGGCCTCGTACCTCCACACTTCCACACCTCTGCACCTCCTACCGACTCAATGCGCTTTTCTCTTTCCGTCTAGTTGTAGAATTTCCACTCAGCCAGCCTTCCCGTGGTTCTGGATGATATTCGTTTTGTCTTTTAGTTGTAGTTTTAATGTGGTTGTGCATGGCAGCAAATTCAGGCGTTTACCTATGCCACCATCTTGGTTGTCCCTGAACATGATTTCTTAACCATCATTCATAAGGGCCAAGGGATTTGAACTGTCACTACAAGTGTTCATATTTTTTTATAGACCTACATTCCTCATTGTCTTATGTTGGATCTTTAACGTAAATAAAGAAAAGATAGGTAAACCTAACACACCAACATTCCTATTAAAAGGTTAAGACTCGGCATTATCAGAATTTTTAAAAATGAAGATTTAAAAAATATAATGAATATGCTTTAATTATAGTAAACAAAATATGTTTTCTCTGTAATTCTTTTTATAAATAATTGAAATAACCAGGAAGCCCTTACAATTAGATAATTCTGGGCTGTCATGTGTAAGATGCCCACATTTTACATACATAGGCAGACCTCATCTTATTGTGCGTCAGTTCATTGAGCTTTTTTACAAACTGAAGGCAAAAGATTACGACTCGCTTTATTAAGATACTTTATTACGGGGAGTCTGGAACTGAACTTGAAATATCTCCGAGGTAGTCTGGTATATACACGGGATGGGCAAAAGTAAGTTTACAGTTCTGTTCAAATGGAAAATAATACAATAATTAGTAAATAATAATACAAGAACAAACTCTGTTCCACATATTCACACTGTATACTTATTTTTGCTCACCCCTGTGTATTTCTATCAATTGTTTATAAAGTAAAATAAATGAACAGATCAAATGTATTTATGTTTAGGCAAAATACAATTTACAGAAACCTATGAAAAGGAGCAAAGGATACTTTTAAAAAAAGATAAGTTGGTTTGTTTTCTTTTGTTTTTTTAACCTAAATCCTTTTAGTTCTAATAATACACCGTTATACATTGTACATGTGCTAGGGAAAAAACAGCTTAGCCATATTTGTTCAATGCATTACAATTCATTTTATCTCTTTAAATCTTGAATCAAACAATTGGTTATTTGAAACTTGCAAAGTACTTTATTGTACAACTTTTTACTCCAGCACAATTTAATTCTTGTTCCTGAGGCAGCAAGGATGATAAATAAGTATTTACCTGACTCTGAATTTTTTTTTTTGCCTTGTTCGTACATAATCAAAAATCTAAAACCAGAATTTTTGTATAATAGATTTTCTTTTCCAGGTTTATTATTTTAGTCTGTGCCTTCTACCATCCTCATAACTGCTGGCCTTATAACCTTCCAGAATGATTCCCCTTGAGTGAGTGTTCCTGAGCTAGGACCATGCTGTTTTTTCTTTACTTCAAGTATTTTATGTGATTTTAAAAGCAAATGATCACCCATTATTATTCTCAATTGTTAACCTAAATGGTTATGAACAGTTTCAGAACAATGAGAAATACAATACCATTGACAATCAATTTTCTAAAGTAAAGGAGAAAATGTTCTAATATCTTAGTGATACATAGCTTGTGCCCTACCAGAACTCTTAAATCCACAATATTCAGTATAATCTATCAGCTGCTTCATTGTAGAAGCTATATTTATTTTTGTGTTATAATGTTTTCAAGTCTCAGACTGTACACTGGAAAATAAGAAGTGGTAGATCTGTGTCCTTGCTGCGGTTTTCTGGACGTGTAAACTATACCTCATCACAGAGTCTGTTTCTGAAAATACAGAAGCGATTGACATCCAATTCTGCTGTAATGCAGCTCACAGTCTAATTGAAGGGCTAATAAAGAACTGTCATTCTCACAGATTCTGTAGTAGAGTTATTTGCAAAGCACGCAGAGGTCAGAAGTGTGTGAGGGAGAGTCATTCTGCACAGACAGCCTCACAGAAGAGAGATGAATGAGCTGCTTCGCCTTTGGAGGGTGAGCAGCAGCTGAAGGTGGAGTAGAAAGTCCTAGGCTCAGAGCACAGCATTATCGAAAGTGTAGAGATGCTGGGATGTGTGTGCATTTTGCGGGGATGGTGGTGTGAAAGCAGATCCCAGCTGTAAACCTCAGCACATATCCCCACTTCTCTGCCACTCACATGAGCAGACGATCAGTTGAATCTAGAGGAGATTTCCCCAACTCTATCATTTCTCACCTGTATTTCCCAGAAATAGCACACCGTGGGTGCTCACTGAGTTTTCCTTGACTTTTTGTTATGGGATGCAGGGTAGAAAAGTTTGTGGTGCATAAAGCTTGCAGCATAAGACTATGTTCTCATCTTGGTCTGCTGTGAATCAGCTCTGTGACCTTGGACTTCTCCATCTGCATTTCCAATTTTGTTATATGTTTAAACTTTTTTTTAGGGCAGTTCTAGGTTCACAGCAAAATTGAGAGGAAGGTACAGAAATATCCCATATAACCCCTGTCCCTACACTGCATAACCTCCCCCATTATCAGCATCCCCCTCCAGAGTGGTGCATCCATTACTATTGATGAACTACCTACACTGACACATCGTCACCTAAACTGCAGAGACAATTAAAAGCTCATTGGTTGCCAGAGGTTAGCAGGGAGAAAGGAATGAATAAGCAGAGCAGAGAGGATTTTGGGGGCAATAAAACAAAATTCTCTATATGATAGAACAATAGTGAATGCATGTCATTACACCTTTGTTCAAACCCGTGGAATGCACACCAAGAGTGAATCCTAATGTAAACTATGGACTTTGGGTGATAATTCTGTCATTTTTAAAATGTAGAGATTTTACTAAATGTTGCCTGAGGTCATTTTATGCTGCAGGTCTTTAAATTATGTGGAAATCCAATGA